CATGCCACAGCTCCCGCCGCAGGGCTCCTACCCCGGTGTCGCCCCGGAAAACTACCCTTCGCAACAGCCGAGCGTGGCACCGTCCAACCCGGCCACATTCCCCACCACGCAGCAGCAGCAACACCCCCTGCGGGATAGCTACGTCTCCAGACCGTCTCATTCCACCGCGGCCCAGCCTGCCACCATTCAGCAACCGCAACCCCAGCTTCCGTCTCATCCCTCCATGGTTCCGCCGCAATTTGCCGCCATGCCCCCGTTTCCTAACCCATACATGCCGCCTGTTCCTCCGATGATGGGCTCTATGCCACCTCCGTTTCCTGCCCCGGGTTTACCGGGTATGCCGCTCCCTGGTATGGGACTCGGGGGTGCCGCTATGCCTCCAATGCCTGGTATGTGCCAGCCGCCCACTTTCCAAGGCCCCTACCCCATGAAGAACCTCAACGTCTATGAATATGTTCGCCCGATTGATCTCGTCTCTGCAATCCGTTATCCCTACGACGCCCCGATTGAAAAAGACCTTGCAAAAATAATTGCCAAGGCCAACCACTATGGTGGCGAGATACACAAGAAGCATTTCTCCAACAAAAAGTACACCAAATACGTCTTCCTTGCGGGTTTCATCCTCTACATGCGCGGCTACCCGCAGATCGCAAACCCCTACGACCCGGAAGACATTTACGTCAAGATTCGCAATGTCTTCATCGCAAACCCCAACCGCTTGGAACAAGCTCCTGGCTCCGCTCTCGCCAACGTCTTGGCCGGGAGAAAGCATCGTCATCGTCACCACCACCACCACCACCACCATCACAACCATCGAAACCACCGCCACCATCATCGTCACCACTCCCGCCGCTCTCGCTCCGAGAAAGAGGAAGACCCTAAGAGCACTCGCACAACGGGAAGGCTCTCGCCCACCCACTCACAATCACAAAAGAAAAGCTCAGGTGGCTCTCGCACCGGTTCTCGCGCTGGCTCTCGCGCGGGGTCCTCATCCACTTCTGAATCGAGCGAATGGGAGGAATAGCCGTTTCCACTTGCAATCCTCGTCTTCCCACACTTTAGCATGCTACTGAGATATGTGTACATCTTCACTTCTTGTTTGTGCTTTCGCTTGCTGCCTTGTTGTGATCTCTACGCAGACAAAATCCCTCGTTTCTCCGACATACCCATAGTTTGCTGGTATGGTTTTCCTTTCGCCATCCCCTTCACTTGATTAATTTTTTTGGTATCTTCTCCAGAACAGTACCTCGAGTCATGGAAGAGCACACCTTCGACCATTTCGACTGTTATCCTCATGTAGATAGATTCAAACTATAGAACAAAAATGTGATCTCTATGACGTAAGCACCCTTCGCCCTTCGCGCTCAACGAAGCAATTCGCGATACTGCATGCACTGCCTTCATGTCACAGTTGTTACGGAACTTGCCCTTTTGCGTTTGCACGGATCTACATTGTGTACGCTGCCTGTAGAGTATCGTTTGCGACCCATTCATGGCCAATACATCGACCCCGCTCCCTCGGCACGTAGCTACAATCCGGTGAACGTGCGATGCTGCCAGCTCCTCATCTCATTGTTCCGACAACAAGGATGGCAGGAACGGTCTGCGATACATTTCAAGAGCGGGAGAATGCCAAACATGCAGTCAAAAACGGTTGCCAGCCTGCAAAGAGAACCGCGGCATGTACAGGACGGATGAGAACGTGCGCTAGATTTGTCGCAAAACAGCGAGGCACGAAACGAACACAGGGAGGACATATATGTATGTGCATTTTGGCTGTCCACATGAGGCGTCCAAGAAATCGGGGGACCAAATCTTGACGAAGGGCTACAAGTCGGACGCTGTCTTTTCTCCACTGTCCCAACAGACTTTGCAGCTGCAGATGAGGTTAAATCAATTGAAAAAGTTACCGCAGGTGTCAACGAGCATGCTTTTTCTGTTTCCTTACATGTGAGAAACGGAGAGCAACTACAATCAGTATGCAACTTGCGACAAAACAAGGCCCTCACCGCACTTACAAACTTTCTCAGCCTTGCAGACAAGCCTGTGCTAGAGCAAGCTATTGTGCGCTAATAAACAGCGACAGTAAGATTGGCCAAGGGGCGACAAGCAAACATCAGCGCGAGGATCACACTCCGCACGCACCAATCCCGGAGACGAAGCAAAAGAGTGGGGAGGCACGAAAAGGGGTGCACCGGCTGCACCAGCTGCACTGGCCCCCGTTCCAAACAAGAGCGTTCCAAACAAAGAGCGTTCCAAACAAAGAGCGGTCCAAACAAAGAACGGTCCAAACAAGAGCGTCTGCATGTCCCCACCACCGGGAGTTGCGGACGCGCCCTCATTGGCTTGGCAAGCGTGCAGCCGGGGACACAGAAAGAAGGGCCTCCCAGGCGTCGTCGGCATGTGCCGCGCCAGCCGGCGTGCCGTCCCCCTGCCCTGGTCTCACTCGGCGTCGCGCTCCCTCTCCCTCTCCCTCTCCTCCTCGACCTCCCTGGCGATCTTCGCGAGTCCCGCGGCGTCCTGGACCTTATTCGCGAGGGCATGTGCGCTCCTCCGGGCGTCGTCGACGCTCTGCCAGAGCTTTGCGGCGTCCCTCGCGAGCACGTCTTCGACGTGGGGCTTGTCCAGCGCGACGAAGGCCTCCATGCCCGTGCACAGGAGCATGCGGCCGTCGGCGGCCGCGCGCACGTGGGCCATGGAGCGCCCCGTGGCACGATGGTTGTC